CGACCTTCGAAAGTTAAAGCGCGCGTCGACGCGGCCATCAGATATGAAAATTGTAATTTTCCGAGCCAGTGCGATATATGAATGCCCGCCTCACAATTGTGTATTGTATATGCGTGTGTGTATGTGTGCATGAATATTAATATTAACACACCCACACACACACACAGCTGCAGCGTGTGTATGAATAAAAGCTGGCTATTGTTTGGATCAAATGAGTTTTGGTTTCTGCTCCTGAAATGTCCTGCAATGTTAGCAATTAGTAGTTGGTGTGCGTGTGTGCGTTGTGTGTGTGTGTGTGCGATGTGTGCGTTCAGTCAAGCATGGCCATTCATATATGCGTGTCTGTGGCTTGCGGCATTAACTTTGATTAATCCTTTATTAAGCACTCGCACACTCCAGGGCTTAAGGCCATGGCAACAGTCCCGTCCAGCATATTAGGCACGGCCCACAGGCCCATCATAAGCAGCTCAAGCACTTATATAAACAGATGTATGCAATGATTTCCCGATTTACTGGCTGTACGCACATAAGATAGATGGGCATGATGGGCATGGGATGATAGACTATGAGATACCCAGCAAGCAATGTGAATGACTTTGCTAGAAATTAATTGATAACTCCTAATATTAGCTCAAATTATTCCTAACAACTATCATTTGTCATGTAATAGCGGACAGAGTTTGATAAATTGTATTTATAGCGCAATGTTTTACGTTAAGTGTACGATTAATTTGAGCCCTTTGGCTGAGCAGCTGTGTCCTTCGATACGAGAATTATTGTTGTTGTTATGCTTGGCGTTTAATCATGCCGTGGAGCAGGCATTGAGGGGCCAATGAATAGGCTGTTGTTGTTGCTGCTCCACGCTGGCTGCCGCTCATTAACGAAATTAGCATTGCGCTCGCTCTTAACGTGTTTACTAATTAAAATATTTACTTCGGCAAAGGGTAGCTTGGACCGTCCAGCATTAAGACAAATCGCTCGCATTTGCAATGCTTATGTTGTTTGTTTTTGTTTTTTCTTTAATTTAATTAAAATACAAGTGGCGACAAAAAAAGCAGCAAGAAGTGAAGCAGCTAACAGCCTGCGACAAGGCATGAAAGATGTCAAGGGACAAAATAAAATTTGGTTTCGCCCGAATCAAGGTCATCAATCGAGCGGGCAATTGCTTGTTAAGAAAAAAAAGCAGAAAAATAAAGCAGATTCCAACAAAAGGGGCGCAAGTCCTTCAGGGAAGCCTATATAAATAAATATATGTTTAGCTGAACGAGACGCGAGGGGCATTCATGGGAAGTGTTAAAGTTTATCGAGAGCTTGAATTCAGGTTGCTCAGCAGGCGGCAGACGGCAGGCGCGCCTCTTTATTGATTTCTCATGATGAATGATGTTGGACGCGGCGCTGTCAATCTCGGATGTTTGCCAAGTTGCTCTCTAATTATTTCTCCTACGATTTCTCCGCCTGTCTCGAGCATTTCGGATTAAAATTGCTTTATTTGTTTTCTTCCTTCCAGTGTTGTTGTGCCTTGGCCAGCATTGATCCCTTGTTACTTTATTGTTCACTGAATTGCGCCTGTCAATTTAAAAACAATATTTACACACCATTTTATAGCATGTTCGAGTTTCTGTGTTGGGTTAGAGTCTTAAGCGATTTACCCACACAGCGACACCCACACTTAGAAGTGTATGAAATAAACCCAGAGCAAATACTACAAGAGCTGCATTTAAAAACACTCGAAATATATTCTGTGGGCGGCTGCCTGTGCTGCCTGTTAACGACACGAGCTCATGTCGTCTATATTTCAGCAAGTGCAAATGTTGTTGCTTTAGCTGTTGCGGTTACAGGCGCCTGTCGAGCTATTTATGCATAATCACTTGCGCAAATACCCTAGCCAGGGGTATGCCGCACTCATCAATAAGTATGCCCGACAAAGTAAGGGGAAATCTGCGAATTTCTTTAAGAAATTCATAGTAAATTCGAAGGGAAACAACAAAGGATAAAGTAGGCAGGAATGTGACTAAGAATGTTGACTCCAAAATATTTTGCATGGCAAAAAATGCCTAAGGCAATAAGAATCTGTTAATAATATCCTGGAGCCAAAGGGTAGCTGAGCCTCTTTGTTTGACTTTCTACTGCCTCAATCTGTTTTCTGTTTTCTGTTTTGCATTTTAAGCCAATAATTCGAATATTTGATGCGATTTGCTATGCGCTTGAATTGTTTATTTTATTTCGGCAACATTTGTTTGCCGCAGCGAGAGATTATTAAAATTGCATGATGACTGCATTTTTGTAGCTTTTCGCTTCTCGCCTTTGACATTTGACATTTGGCCAGAGCCGGCAATCCATTACAGTTAGTGGCAAAAGTTAACGCTCACACAGCTCGTACTAGGTGACGCTGTCAACAACATGCTGAGACATCGCCATGCATGTTGCACTTTGCTAACCACCTGTCAGCTTGCTAAATGACACTGCACTGCAGAGCAGGCACACCTGCAACTGCAGCTGACACCTGGTCGATCCAAGCTAAGGCTACACAAGCAACACCTGGCTGACCACACACACACACAAATAAAATTAAACATGTCATATAAATAGAATTTTTAGTGCGAAAACTGAGCAAACCCAGAAAGTGGGGACATCAATTTTGCTTACATTTCAGTTCTGATGCCATCCAAATAAAGTAAGCCACAGTAAATAGAACGTATTTAATTAAAAGGAAGTATTTAATAATAAGCAAATTGTACATATACCCACTACTTAAAACCAACGAGGGTAGCATGAGATTGTGAGTATGCAAGGCCATGATAGATTCATCAATCTGAAAAATAAAATTGAAAAAAAAAAAAAAAAACTTTGACTAAAAAGGGAAACACATAAGAATCACAATTTCCAACTCCACAAAATAATAAGTGTTTCCTTTTACGTATTTGCTCCAAGTATCTGTTTCAAGTATTTCTCCTATAAATATGAGAATATAGTATTTCGTCTAAGTATTTCATCCAATTGTTTCCAGTTACGTATTTTCTCTTACGTATTTGCTCTTACGTATTTCCCATTACGTATTTCCTCTTACCCATTTCTTCTAAGCATTTCCTCCAAGTCTTTAATGCTCAGCCGAACGATCACACAATTTAATTCACTTTACAGCACTGCACTACTGACCCCCACCAGGCCTGGGTGACTGAAGAAATGCTGCAGCTGCAGCCCTTTATATAGGGCGACTCTCCCTCAGACTCTAAGTCGCGCTCAAATGTTACGTCCGACGACAGGTAGCCGAGTCTTAAGTGATCAATGAGAACACTCTCTGCTGCTGCGAGCACTCAAGCTTCGTTTTACTCAAATATAAATACCGAATGAGTACTGCTGCATACATGTAGAGATCTCAAATGATCTTCTGATCTTTTGTTAGGCCGACAAACAGAGAGGCGGACGAAGACACAGACTGGGAGATAGACAGAGAGACAGACATACGAGTAAATATGTGTGTGTCTGTGCGTGTATGTGTGAGTGTATGTGAAAAGAACCGAAGAACAGGAGATCCCCTAGTCGACCACTCTCGACTGTAACACTCTCAGTTGCTCTCCTCTTATTTCTCTTCCTGCATATACAAATATGTGTGCATCTGTATAAATACCACCCATCCATCAAATATAAGTCATACTTAAGCACTCAGCCTTTCATCTGCAAATCCGTTACAGAGTGACTTACCGTTCAGCATTTGCCCCATTAGGAACCAATTCGCCTGAATCGAATGATATGTGCTGTCATTTTGTTAGCTGTTAAATCCTTCCATTAAAACGCCAGCTCACAATAATAGTGACAGAGGCTTTTGCTGTGGCGTCTGTCGAGTGAGTTTCTGCCTGCAAGCAGCTGTCCTTCAGCTTCATTTGTATGTAAATGCCCCTTGGCAACAGCAGCAGGAGCAGTAGGAGCAGCAGGAGCAGCAGCAGCAGGAGCAGCAGGAGCAACAGCAGCAGCCGGAACTGCTGTTAGAATATTTTTCGGGTGCTGTCAGCCAGCGTGCACAGTGGGGCGAGTGCTGCCTGAACACACACACAAAATTGACTTCAATTAAAATTTTAAATTAGAAAACCGTACGACTACACGCCCAGCAAACAATGTAAAGATGCAAATTTATTTGTAAGCAAAGTGTCGGCTCGTTTCTGTTCTCTCAGTGTATTTATTTGGCCTTGCCACACAATTGTTGCCACGTGGACAGCCTCAGTGTGGCACGTGTAACCGCACTTACTTAAACAATATTCTTATTTATATTGTTATATAGACATTTATGAGCTTATGCTGGGCATTAGTTGAACGCACTCTGGCCCCTGCTCCTGCTCCTACTCCTGTTCCTGCCGCTGGCTGCTGCTGTCTCTTTGGATTTAGCTTGAAACTTTTGATTGCTTGCCTTAGCCGCAACGCACGTCCATCAGCTGTTACCTGATATGCGCCGTGTTGGCCGAGTGTGAGCAAGTGGGCCAACGCCAACGGCTTGACACAACTAGGTCGCTGCCGTTGCTCCGCTCGCTTGTTTATAAAACTGGTTCAAGGAGACAAGCAACAACAGCTGCAGCAACAAAATGTCGTACTAAAAAATGGTGGCAACAATTTTTTTAAAGGGAGAGTGAGTGAGAGAGAGAGAGAGGCAGGCTTGGCATTTCACACACACCTCGTGGCAGTGACAAACATTTAGCGTGAAACTATTTTTTAATGAGCTCCGGCAAATTTTCTACGGAACTCAGCCCAACGGCTTCAGAATTTTGTTTTTTGTTTCTTTTTCGTTTTCGTTCTCTCTAGTTTTCTTTTGCGATTGATTTTTCAGCCTGTGGCTGGACACCTTGGGCGCATTGGCAATAGTGGGCGTGGCCATTCGAATGAATTTGGGCCCATTGTTGCGACTTAACAATTGTTGAGCCGGAACATATACGCCCACAGCCAGAAACTGGGCCAACTCATCCAAAATGGCAACAAGCACGCAATTTGTTGCCATAGCCAATATCGCCTTTGTTGTTGCTGCTGCTGTTGTTGTTGTTGCTCTTTGTGCTTAAAGCAGCTCAACAAAGTTGTTTACATTTTTATACCCTGAACCCATTGAAAATGGGAAATCAGGGTATAATGGTTTTGTGAAAAAGTATGTAACGGGCAGAAGGAGGCGTGGCAGACCCCACAAAGTATATATATTCTTGATCAGCATGACGAGCTGAGTCGATATAGCCCTGTCCGTCTGTCCGTCCGTCCGTCCGTCCGTCCGTCCGTCCGTCCGTCCGTCCGTCCGTCCGTATGAGTGCGTCGATCTCAGAAGTTATAAGAGCTAGANGTTGTATATAAAGTTAATCGATACAAAGATTTTGTAATTTACAGATTTTGGATACCACGCCCCCTTCTCCCCCAATTTGTAAAAAACGCATTTCAAGTACTAGAGACTTGGGCTTTGGAATGTACACACATATTCACAATATGATTACGCTCTAAAAGTTTCATTAAGATCGTATGTCTACAAAAGAAGTTATTCAATAAATAAATTCTCATAATATTGCCCACACTGCAGCGCAGCCCAAGCGCAGTCGCTACTTACTGCGCAGTTAGCAGAGCGCAGGCTTATGCGTGCGTGTGGATGCATCTGTATGTACGTGTGCATAAAAGAAGTGCAGAATGATTAGAATATCAGATTAGAGGGTTCAGGGTATCTCCTAGTCGAGCAGTCTCGACTAGAGCTTTCTTACTTGTTTATGATGTTTTTGTGCCACATTGCGTGCCTCAATTTGACGAAATGCTATTGAGATGTAATTAAGTCTTCAATTTATGTTAAAAGCTTAAAGTTCTTAGTGGGTCAAAGGCGGCTTAAAGTCGAGTTTAAATATTTAGCTACAAATGCACCTTTTCTAAAGGAAAATGAACCCGAAAGACAGACAATTTTCTGGGAATATATATGTATATATTCTATTTTTTTAAAAGCTCCATCCTCGGAATTTTTTATAGTCGAGTACTGCCCATAACTTATTTAAAGCCATTAAGCTAGCTCAGCCATGCCGGTCAACAGACAAAAGAAAGTCATATCATTTGCCCAAGTAGCAGCTGTTCCTTTGTTTATCAATCAATTATCAAAACACGTGCGCTTGATATTTTCCAGGCGAATGGCTTTAACGGCTAGACTTGAGTTGATGTCTGTAAATAAATGCCTAACAACCGGCCGAATGCAAATCAAGAGAATTCTCAAAATATATGCATATATTTGATTCAAGTGTCTGCTGCCATTAAATGTAGTATAATTTCCCAAGAAAATGCGTATACGCAACGTTGCCACAGAAGATTCTGAATGCCTTTTGACTTTGACTTTTTGCCAGTCTCTTAGTTATTCTGGCTTTCTCACAGTATTAAGCGTTGTCAACAGCATGTTTTAATTTAACTAATGAATATTCAGAGCGGACCACATCAAAGACGAAACGCTTTTATCATTTTAATGAAACATTGCACCCACACCGCTACCATATAATTGCCATAATCGTCGAGTAATTTAATTACTCAAACGCTTAAAAGATCAACGAGTTATGAGCCATAAAACTGGCTTTTAGCACCTATCCAATTCCCGTGCTGGCCATAGCAGCTAAGACATTTATCATAGTTGCTGGCAAACGACGCCAATTGAATAGTTGACCTGATAAATTGACTGACATTGAGGCTTAGCTCTAACTAACGGAGTTCAATGACTTGCCAAGGTCACAGAATTTCATGTTCCTGCTGCTGAGCACTGAGTATTTCCCGGAATTCCTTGGGCAGCCCATATTTGCCAATGGAAATGCTATCTTAATTACATTCTTGGCGTATCTTTGATGTTTAGGAAAATAATCAACTCTGTTTCCTATTCACGCAGGAAAAATCACGGTCTATTTATGTGTATTTCCCAGCTGAATATAGTCAAGTCTGCCATTGAAATTAATTATGAATTAATGATAAGAGACACAGAAAAAATACACCATGATCAATCAAAACATGGTCTTTGGAGTATTTCAACTATCAACTTTGCACATTTTTCACCACCTAATTGGCCAATTTGCATTTTAACACTTGCTGCTGTTGCTTCTACTGCGGCTGCTCCTCCTCCTGTTACTGCGGCTGCTGCTGTTGCTCTGCTCGTGGCAATTATGTTAATTTCTCTTTCGCGCAGCTGGCGCACATTTTACGAATAACCAAGCAGCCAAAAATTCAAAGCCAAGGACTTCCTGGCAGCCGCCACTTCTGGTGGCCTTCGTCTAAGTAATTCACGAAAATTTGCCACAATTGCATTCGAAATTCTAGCCATCAAGCTCAAATTAACACACACACACATACAGACACCCACACACTGCTCCATTTGAAATTTAAATCTGCCAGCTACACGAATATGAAGTTTTGATGGCTTGTGTAATGAAATTACCAAACCAAGTTGAAACAGAGAATTCTGATTGAGTTACATGATAGGAGTTTAAGAGCAAAAAATATGTCTAAAGGTCATGTAGTTAATATAGATTTCCAGGAAAATAATGTAGCCACTTTAAATTATATTTTCATCGAATTTAAATCTCATTATGAAGTGAATGAATAAAACAACTTAATTGAGTTCATGCAAAACGCATAGTTGCTGCAATATTTCAAGTGAAATTTTGTTTTTGTCGAGCTGCTTGTAATGCATGCAATGAATTATAATTTAGATTCCACTCCTCATGGATTTAAAACATATATAGTATTTTGAAGTCTATAAACTGACAAATTAAGTTTAGGCATTCGCATGTTATAGCCAGAGCGTTGAGCTGAGTTGTTGTAGTCAAATAGTTCAGCATGCGTGAGATGACCCAAAATACTTGCATTCCTTTTAGCATTGCCACGAGCAGACCACAAAAGTGAGTGTGAGTGTGTGTGTGAGGGTGTATGTGTATGCGAGTGTGTGTTATTGCAATCCTTGCGATTCTAGCAAATGCTGACAACATTCTCAGCATGCTTTAGTTTTTCGTTTATTTACTGGCAGCGTTCTTTGACTCTATATTACTACGTCAACATTTTATTGTTGTGAAAGTTTATTGACACGCTGACACAAACGCAGAGGCAGAAAGCGAGAGTGAGCGAGAGAGAGAGAGAGAGAGAGAGCGAGCGAGAGAGAGAGAGAGAATAATTTAAAAATCTGCTTTCATTTGCCACACTCAGCCACAAAATGTCAATGGCCACAACATGAAATATGGAAAACTGCAAATCATCGAGTCATGCATGCATTTACAATGGCATTTAAGATACAAATTTCACACATAAATAACGGAAAAGTTCACAGAAAGACAGAGATAGAGGAAGCCTGAGATAAATTGTATGAGAAATGAGCAGCACAAATAATTCCAGGAATTTGAAGCAAAGCAGAGAATATTTTAAGTCAATATGAATATATACTCTCAGCCAAAAATGATGGCCAAAACCAGCCGAGCGTTTAGCTGAGCTAAAACAGCAATTACGCCCAGCAAATTTATGTAAAACATCTGCTAAATCTTGCGCTATGTAACTGTTTTGGCCTTTTCACTGGCACTTTGGGGGCAATTTGTTTTGGCCAGCCGTGGGCTGCGTTGGCCTTTTTGGTTTGATTGGAAAACATCCGATAATGTGAACTAGTTGAAGTCGGACCATATATCAAAATCAAATGGCAACAATCATGATGAAAATTCTGCCATTAGCAGCTACGAATTGGGTCATCAGTTCATCATTATTATTATACATTATTTATTATTTATTATTGTTGCCATTGATTGAGTTTTGGCTTTTGGCCTGCGAGAGATTTTGTTGTTGCTTCGCACGCAATTGAAATTGAAAGTTGAATATTTGACTTTGATTACCAAGCTAATTAATCAAAGTTCAGATTATTAATATTGGAGATATCACTACTAATTATCTACAGTCAATAAATGTCGTTTAGCTCGAGAGTTACATGAAATCATATTTTATTTGGTTAATTTATCATAATATAAAAGATAGCTTAAGTCGTTTACTTATGACCAAGGTAAACCAAGTTCTCTGGAAAACTCAAAGGCATCTCGCTTGGCTCATCCTCCGGCCAGGTCGAACTAGAAATAATATTTGGTGTGTATTACATACGCTTACTGGCTAATAAACTATGTCAAGTATCACTTAGATAAAACCTACGAATCACCAATTGTTAGATGACGCCGCAAGGACACTTTGGCGGAGCGTTGCACGCGCGAGGGGCTCGATTCGTGCATGCAACGCTGGCCAAAATGGAGCAATGGGCGCTCTACAAATCTGTGATTGGTCTTAACAGCTAGCTAATCCTTAAGTACTCTAAGTGTAAAGAGAGTGGTTGTAGTTGGGYTTGTGTTTGTGTTTGTGTTTGTAACTGTTGTGGGCGTGCTCAATTTACAGCCACAGCGCATCGATGGCTTCGTCTATGTCGTCGGCATGGGATCGGGACAAGCGCTGCGGCGTTGTCCTCAGGGACTTCTGTTCGCTGACAACCACCGCCTTGGCTTCCATCTCGTTGCCGCTGAGCAGCACCATGAGCAGCACGCTGCTGCGTCTGGTGTGCGACTCCAGCTCCTGCTGCTGTTGCTCCAGCAGCTGCGGCAGCTGCTGCGGCTGTGACTGATTGTTGCGCAACTTGCGCAGCCAGTCAGTGGCAGGCCAAATGCATTTACCGCCCACGCTGCCACGCCGGCGACAGGCGTCCCTTGTAGCTCTCTGGCTCCTGGTGCAGCAGGGGCTGCTGTGTGGTTTATTGTTTCTGACAGTGTTGTTCGGCTGCAGCATTTCAACCACGCAAATGTCATCAGTAGCACCAATTTCACTGGCGCATCCATCAACATCAGGCGCTGTTTCAGTCATTGACGCTGCTGTTGCCGCTGCCGCAGAGGCCATTGTGGTTGTTGTTGTTGCCGCTGTCGACACTGCCCTGCTGCATTCCTGCTACACGTTCGTCACTTGCGTCGTCAGGCCCAGATCAATGGCCATGCTCTTGCTAACAGCATCCGTTTGCACCAGTCGCTCCCTGCCATAGCCATTCAACCGACCGCCGGCACCGTCGCGACCATCGCCATCATGCTGCGACAGCGGAAGCCATTTGTCGAGCCAGCGCGGCCGGAATAGCAGCGTGAATGTGCTGCGGAACTGTCGACTCATCGAGCAGTAGAGTATGAAATTAATGCTCGAATTAATAAGTGCCAAGATGTCCATTAGGTCACCTAAAATGAGACATACGAATGGAAAGGCAATAAGCATCAGTGCAACTAACTGCTGCACTCTGCCAAGCAAGCCGTGTTGCTGTTGGCAGAATGCATAACAATAAAAAGAAAACTTAAAACTAGTTGGACTGCCTCTTTTGAAAGAGATGTACATATTCACATGTTAAATCACATTCTGAGAAAAACCCAGAGAGCAACTGAAATAGGTTCATTAACGAGCTCGTTCGCGATCGGCTTGATTGGATGTGCTCTTCTCTCTTCCCCGACCGTTTGGTTACATGCCTTAGTATGAGTGGGAGTGCAGTCTTCGGCAATCACATCGATAGCGTGCATATGTATGTGAATGTGATGACCGCTTGCATTGACCTTTTCACACTGACTCTCATTATGCGAACGCCAATCGTCTCGCTCCCTAACCGCTGTTCGTTGAAAGAGCAGCATACGAAGAGTTCACGAAAAGAACCGAAGTTTCGAGCTCAGAGCAAGATGCGAGTGAGCATGAATTTTGTTCGTTGATATTGCGAACTGAGTGTAGAGTATCAAACGGGCAACTGTTATTTGCAAGCTTTGGTTTAAAATGCAAAAATATCGAAACAATATAAATATATATCGATAGCGGAGTTTGAAAGGACTTTACGATAAATGACTTTTTATTCTTTATGCACATCTGGTCACATCGCTTTTCAAATTATATTTAAATATATATATCACGTCATTCATTTAATTAAATAAATGTCCCAACACAAAATTAAAATTAGCTGTACTTAACCAAACCTAATACTCACTCAGCTTAAGGTAGCACTGCATGAGAAACGCATCGCCGAGCATCGCATTCAGCAAACCCATGATGCCCTGTGGAAATTCTGTAATGAGAAACAGCAGCAGCACCGCCAACAGCATGCGTGTGGTGCGATCCGTTTGCTTCTCCTTCTCCAGCAGCTTACAGCTTTTGGGTTGCGTGGGCGTGACGACCTTACCGTTGACAATGGGCTGCATATCGTTGGCCGCATGGCAGGCGAGTATCTTGCGTCTCTTTTTCGCCTCCAGCAAAGCGCCAATCAGGCGCACGGAGAGCACAGTGAGGGCAAAGCAGGGTATCAGCTTGATCACCACGCTGTAAATGAGAAATGTGGCATTGCGCAGAGGTCGATCGTGTAGCGCCAGCTCGCTGTGGTACAATTTGTAGACCGTCACGTTGCGCTCTCCCGTGTCGGGTAGAACTGTTGTCATTAGGGTGGCCAAATCAGTGGAGGAACTTGGCATGTTGACCACAGTGGTGTTGCTGCCGCCCGTGGCCATAGACCAGGCCATGTCCGGCGTGGTGCTGGACATCACTTGCATCGTGATGTGCTCCTCGTTGTTGTAGTCCAAGATGTATTGACTCAAGGGCACGGACCGAATCGTCTTGCCATTGGCATCCAGTGTCTCCAGAAACTTGGCTATCGCAGTGACCAAATAGAGCCACGGCGACACCACCAGCACGCACACCACATAGGCTGTCGCTATGGTTATTGTGGTGGTGCGCATGCCGCACCAAATCCGATTACGCTGCGGATAGCTAACGGCTATGTAACGCCAGACGGCCAGCGTAACTGTCAGCCAAATGGAGATGGTGTGAAGCACTTGCGCAAAGATCGAGTGAAACTTGATGAAGCAGGCCCAGCCATAGCTGAGCTGCTGCTCACGCGGCAGACGCGCGCTGAGTATGTAGTCGTGCACAGTATAGGGTATATACTCCAGCATGACGGCCAGATCGGCCACGGCCAGGCCCGTGAGTATCGCATTGGTGGGGGATCGCATCTCACGACGCGTCAGCACAATTATGTTCAAGGTGTTGGCCAGGGTGCCCAAGATGCAGACGATGAGCGAAAAGTACCCATGGATATATTTATAGCTGTGTGGGTTAGAGGAAATAGCAGTTGAATCAATACTCAATATAAACAAAATTAAAATGAACTGCGAAAATATACAGCTTCCTGCTCATTAGGCAATTTGCGGAGTCATGCTGATGGGATGAATGAATATTCAGTATACGCAGCGTATAATCAGCTCCAAAAAAATTCATTTCATGGCAATTAAGCAGGTGATCTTCTTATGCACACGCCAGTTCACACGTGGGCAAGGAAATTAATATGTAAATTACATTTAAACCAAGAAACAACAGCAACAACAAAAAGTAATTAATACTCTGACACGGCAGGCCATGCCGCATGCCGCATGCCACATGCCACTTGCCACTTGCCACTTGCCGCTTGCCGCATTCCGTATTCCGCCCATTCCAATCAACTTACTTCGTGTGAAAATCATCGACGCTGGCGCCGCAATAATGCGGCTCCGACATGTTCGTGACCATGTTGTCAATTTTGGTCGTCAGATGATGGCGGTGGGGGAGCTTGAGGTGGTGGTGGTAGTGGTAGGTGTGGTAGTGTTTGCCTCGCCTGATTGCGTCCGTGGTGTGAATGGCCAGGCGGAGTCGCTATAACAACTGCTACTTGGGACTGTGGCCTTTGTGGCCCCGGCAGCTGCTGCTTCAGTTGCGTTTCAGCTGCTCGCTGTCAACATCAAGCCGCACCCCGAGCTCTGCCTCCTCATTAATATTCTTGCGCTGCGGTCGCCCTCCGATATTCCAATACTTAAATTGTTTCCTCTATACTCGTCCCGTGGCTGAAATTAAATAAGCCAAATATTTATACAGCTCTAAATTATGGCACACAAATTATAACGTGTTGCCAGCAGTTCGTGTTGGCAGCGAAAAACTTTGCCTGCCCACATGCAAATACTAAATTAAATACAACGTGTCATTAATTCAAGTTGAAGTTCAAGTTGAGACTGAAATTGAAGTTGAAGTTGAAGGAAGCCAAATTGGACATTTTGCTGACTGAAGGAGCCGAAATTATTCAGCTGTGAATGACAAGTTGGAAAATTTTGATGCAGGTAAAGGTGAAATTGGCTCTACAGCTCATGTCTGCTGTATACCTTTAAAGGAAGAGCTTAAGTAAAGCATTTAAGACAGCTCAACTCTGACAAAAGTTTTCACAGTCATAAGCCATAACTGTTCATGTCCGGCAGGGTTTGAGCCAAGTAATTGGCCAAAGAGGAAGCGAATACTAATGCGTAGACAAATAGTTTACAAGCTCAACGGAAAGATGAAGCAGCTGCTATCAATGTTACGCATACGCCAGTTGAGCAGAGCTGTGATCAAAGCAAACTTTTGGTTGTCCACGTTGGCCATGGCCATGAGCAGTTGGCTGCGGGCCAGCAGCCGCCAGCAAAGACCACACACACACACACACACTCACACTAAAACACACATTACGTATACGCAATGTGAGTAGCATGAAAAGAAATGTCATTGCAGTGCTCGGTGCTCTGTGCTCTGTGCTCGGTGCTCGGTTTGTGCATGCCTCACTTGGCTTTTTGCACTTCGTTAGCCACATTTGGCTCTGGTTGAACTTTGCTGAACGTTGCTGCAACTGCAAATATAAATGTGGCTCCCACATGGCTCGAGTCGGCTGCAATATTTAATTAAAACTTTTCGCCCAGCACTTGGGTCAAACCCTTCGCAAATAGATGAAAAACATTCCTTGGTATTGCTTATCTGTGCAGCATATGTTGGCATATTTTCGGTCACTCGACAAGCTATTGTCGGCAGCTCCTTATCTGCGGCGCCATCCAGCCTCGTTAAGTCAATTGAAAGCCTAGCTCGACCTAGTTGGAGCAACAAATTGACGCATAATCTACTGGCTCTATTGGCTGCCACATCTGCAGCTAACGAGCTGTGTATCGGTGCAAATTATGCAACATAATTAAACAGTGAAGAGCCTGGCATATTTGCAAGCAACTGAAAGTCAATGGACATCAGCTGCTGGCTGGCTGGTTGGCAGGGTAATTAAAACTAGGCCAAGTCTTCAAATAGGCCATTATTGAGCCGTGGATGGTGCTAATGGCCTAAACGGCTTCATTAGATCATTTAAATAGAGTTTGCTTTGGCATTAAATGCCGACTGCTTGCCATGTTTCATTTCATGCCACGAGGTCCTTAGTGGAATCAACAAGTTGTTCAATGGTTGGGCATTACGTGACTTGGCTCGATTTGCACGCCTTGCGCTTGCTTGAGTCTTCCCAGACCAAAGCAGATGCTAATGTGCCCAGCTGCCGAATACAATGCTCTTAGTCGTTAATGTGCGGCATACGGTGCGTATACGTTTTTATTTGAAAGCATCAGACCGTGGCCTGTCCAAGCACACGATTGACTGACTGACTGACTGACTGACTGACTGACTGAGTGAGTGAGTGACTGCTGGACTTTGAGGCCAGCTGCCAGCCTGGTCTAGGGTGTGGTTGCCAAGTAATTTAAGCTATTTGTTTATTACTGTTTCGCACAGTTCCATGAAGACCTACACAGAATTCAATTAAGTGTGGCCCAGGCACATGCTGTGCTTTAAATAAGCTGAGGGTGGGAGCGAGAGAGGCAGAGAGAGTGGGAGGGGTATTGGGAGTCCTGCTCTAGCCCATTTTATGTGGTGGTCTTTGCAGTAAAAGCTCAAGTCAGGCACATGCTGTGCATTTAGATGGGCCACTTTGCTGGGCAGAAGCACAACTTCAATAATTACATTTGAAGGACTATTTGAATGACTGATAGTCCATCGAATCGCTGTAATTGGCAGTACTTGAAACTACTTGAGAACGGTGCGGGGCAGCTGTCTGTCAGGGCCAGGCTCACTTGGGCATCGCCGCAAATTAATTGAAATCCTCGAACAACAACAACAACACAYTCAACACTCAACACATTCAACACTCAGCATCAAACGCTTCAGGGCATTAGCTAAATACAATTCTCAAGTTTTAACAGCATTTGGGTTTTGTTTGCTTCCTGTAAGCCATTAGAACAAAGCAAAAATGCCAAGAATACGGCAACAATTGGGTTATACATTGTGGCCAAGAAAACTTGTGGCGAAAACTGAAAAGTATTGCCAATCTAGCCAACCGAAAGCTAAACTGCAAATTAAATAAGAATCTCCAATGTTGGGTATAGACGAATCGCGGATACTCTAAACCGAGTTGAGTTGCTTAGACTGTTGTATTGTTCTCCAATAGTGCATTAAATGAGGCAACCAGAACAGCCAATTGTTGCATAACGGACTAAAAAGGCAAAAAAAAAGGCAACAGAAAAAAATCCGTCGTATCAGCAACAAGACTAAGCAATTAGCTAAAGTACAACTAAAAGCAAAATGGCTGAAAGGTTTTTTCTAAATGAAAAAAAATAGCCCAAAAATCACACGCTGCCATTGAGAGCAACAAAAACATACAAAAAATGCAAAAAATGCTAACAAAAGGCGCTCGAACGAATCCCAGCTACATTTGCTTTAAGATTGCCCGAACATGTGAATATTTATTTATTTTCATGTGGCTTTAATATCGTTTGAATATTATATGGAAGCGGGCATCTGCTCAATTATTTACGCTGATCTGATTTGGTTGTGTCTGCTTCGGGCAAATTTACTTCCGCTTATTACTTTTGATGATTTCCTAACGGTTTCTGGCAGCTACTTCCGGCGCTCGCAGCGGTCCAGCATTCAATGCTGACCTTAGAGAGCTCTCAATGAATGCTACATTTATGAGTATTTTCTCTCTCTCTCTCTGTGTGTGACTGTGTGTGTGTGTGTGTGTAATTGCACACACGTGTGCGTTGCGAACTGTAAAATCGGATTCCCATTCAATCTTGAGCCTTTGCAAAGGTAATGCCAGCACAGACACGTGGCAATGGTGACTTGATATGCCCGACTTGGCCATGCCGGCCAGTCCAAGGCTATGCCAGAGCGAGGAGCATTAGTTGCCAAATCAACTGCCAGCTGAGACGCCTCAAGGGTTTCACTAGCTCTTTGTGCAAAACTTTATTCATGTGCCCACTGGCCCACTGCTCGTTAGACGCACTTCAAGTTTAGCTCCTTCTGTCCGTCCGGCTCGACTCGAATATGCTGCAGCTTGAAGAATTGTTCTTTAATAAAAAGGCAGCTGGTTAAATTTAAATGTCAGCTTTACGAATTATTTATGGCTGTGAAATGACTTTAAAACTGTTTGCTGAAACTCGGTTGGGCAGGCAGAGTCGAGAGAGCGAGAGAGAGGGTCAAATATTTGTTGAGGTGAAACAGCGTGAAGAACACTCACACACACACACACACACATCAGAATTTTGTAATTAAGCATTCAGAAAATGTTGGCGAAAGCAACGTGAGCAAACAGAAAAACAGGCGAAATGTGCCAACGCTTATGGCAGAGAGATCAAAAGTTCGGGCCACTCATAAACAAACAGGCAGATAAACAGAGCCACAGTTGGCGGCTATTCGGTCACATGGTGAAGCACACAGCACAAGGGACGCGCTGCACATTTCATTGCCCAAAAAACAAAAAAAAAAAAAAAAAAGGAAAAACGCATACACAAAGCCCACTTGACAGGACATGCGACACACATGGAACTGTGCAGGCAGAGCAACTGGCTTAGGTCAAGGTAATAACTGTCAACGAGCTGAAGCGCCACTCGAGCCGAGTATTTGCAGCAAATATATTGCATAATAAGCAAGTCTGACAGGCGAGCCTTTTGTTTCAATTCGCTAAGCTTAGCGTAACGCCCCCCTCCCCCAACTCGTAGCCTGGCTAAAATCGATGCTGCTTGTTGATAAATAATTAATATCATTCGACAAACAGCTAAAGCAAACTATTTTATTGTGCGCAACAAGTGGCGCAACGGTGCAGGGTCAATAAAACATTATTTTCTACGCTCGCCCCCTTTAGGCTCTTTTTAATTTGCATTTGGCCATCATATATCTTATATCTTATCTCTGACGGCTTATTGTCTGGCTTATTGTTTATGAGCGCGTTTATTGTGTGCATGTCTGCATGGCCTTAGTTTTGGATTCATTCCATTGGCAGTTGCCAATTGGCAGTTGATTAACTGCTCGGCCCCAGTCGCAGTCCATAAAGTATCAATAAATTCATAACAAGCAGCTGAGCGTCACAGCAAATACGCGTCTCACCTTATTAATTTCATAACAACAACAACAAGAATACAAATAAACATTCCTGCATTTATTAATTAATAATAACAGATAATTTATTAGGTTCGTTTGGTTGCATAATCATTTAATTGAATTTCCTATGGGGAAATACAGGAAAATAGGGAAAACCCGAAAACTGCGCAATACTCGTTTGGCATTTTAAAACAGGTAAGACAATATAAATATTAATATAACTAAATTA